TTAGGAAAAGGAAACTCTGACCTCCATCCTGTGTGCCTGAATTTAATTTTAAATCATTTGGTCATAGTTGATCAGGATTGTTTGCCAGGGGTGCACTGTTTTGCACTTTAGTAAAGTCATTAACCGTGATATGCATGCGCAAAACAGATCACACGAATAAAACGTCACATGATTATTTCCGTATAATTTATATTCCCCTGCTCTGACCCCAAAAATGAAATAAAATTAAATAAAAAATAATGATTATAACCTTAATAATAGAACAAGATGATATTCTAAACGCAGGCGCGGATCCGAAGCCCCGGTCTAGAATACCCCCATGCTCTGACCCCCCCAAAACCTGCAACAATGGGATATAAAAAAATATCTGACAGGCCGACCCCCCTGCAAAAATTCCTGGATCCGCCCTGCATGATGGTCCTTGAATTATATACTTAAGTAATTCTTTGTAATTTTAATGATCATTATAAAATGTTTTTTTGTTGACAAACAGAATCAATGAAACCTCTTATATCAGTCTGTCTGTCACGCACAATGTGTTCCAATGAAATTCACATCTACTTAAAATATCTACAGAATCTTATTTAAAGACATGAATTTATTGATGTGGACTTGCCGTAATGTATCTGTTAGATCGTTACACGACGTTTAGAAGACTTAACTTCAAGTAGTTATTTTCCCCCAAAAATAAAAAGTTAGGCCTAGTTAAAAATCGCCTTTGTATGGTTCCATGTATTCATAAAATGCACATTATAACAGAGTGACGAAACAGGGATCATTTCTGCTGTGTGGAACAATGCAAACTCAAATTTTATTGATTGTTTTTTAATTGTCGGGTTCTGACTTTGTTCGTATACAGTGTGTACACATTTTTAGATTTTGACGATACCTTTGGTGTATGAAGAGCGTGGCGTTTTCAATAGCATCATTATAATATGATTGATCACAGCAGCTGCTCTACAGTTTTGTGTAACTTGTTGCTTACTGCGTTATCCCGTATATCGTGTTTTTATTATAAATCTGTTTGCCAGATACGTTACCAAAACAGCTTGGCATTGTGGATCTTACTATTTCAGTCTCATCGGAAATATTTGTATAATTACCTGTTCATCGAAATGATAACGACTTATTACTTAGTTTATGGCAAATAAATGAGAAGTTGCAACATGCAAAGTGATAGATAGATCATTAGATGTAGCAACGGAAATTATGCGCATATCCAATCGAGATAGACAGTTTGTGCCTTGTTTTAACAATCTAGAAAAAAAATGATGTTTTCCAATGTACCTGTTAATACTGTCACTCAAATTCCTCTATTTTTAGTCCGTCTTTCACAATGTGTAGCTCCGAAATTCATATTGACTTAAGCCTCCCCAGTTTTTGTTTCAAAGACAACTTTTCTATAAATAGAATGGTGGTAACGTATCTATTAGGTTGTTAAAACACGTTTTAGAAGGTTTAGTTTCAAGTATTTATGTCAAAAAATATAGTTACATTGTAAGTTAAAAATCAGTACTCTGCATCTGCATCAATACTGCTCAACACTCCTTGTTGCGTTGCAGTTGGAGTAAACCATGTTCTGGAGCTATTAAACTTTACGATTTTGAGCAGATTTCATATATTCATTGTAGTTGATATTTTGTAAAGTCCGAGTCCCAACTTGAACACTTTAACCCTAACCGCACCTAACGCTACAAAATACTACTAGTAGTAAACTGTAGTATGCAGTACTTGAGCATATAAGTGAGCACAGCACTCATAGTACTTTCTAGTATTTGGGTACCTGCATACATAATTTTTGTAGTACTTTGTAGTATGTGGTACTGTGCTCCAAATGAACTCTTAGGGGGTTAGGGTTAACGAAGAATGAGCCTAGTACTAGTAGGACCTAGCCCAGGTGGACTCCCTTTCCTCCCTACGTAACGGAGGGAGTCCAGGGTATGAAGTGCTCAAAACCGGGTGAAAAAATTTCTGACCAATATTTTTAATATTTTTACCTTGTTGGAGAAGCCAATTTTTACGTTGTAGTATTCTACATGTATGTGTCCTTATCTATTGGGCCGCTGGGTTCAGAAATTCCATATGCGATGCTGACCGACCTTCATCTGGAAAATAAACTCGAAAGCAACGTTAAACTTGTACGTGTTTGTAGACTCTTTTCATCAGTTTCTCACTGCCGAGTCTATTCTAGTCGTACATGATGTATGTCTGTGCAGCGTGTAGTCTGGTTCCCTAGATCGGACAATTATTCTCGACGCTCATATCACGTCTGGTCCGGGGGCCAGACTATGCAGCATGAATATGCAGTGCGCACGCGTGATTTGCTTAGTAACCACCCTCATACGCACGCGCACTTACTTGAAGGCGCGGTCGCTAATCCAATGACCGAGCGTGTTTTCGCGCCAGTTACCAGAAACACGTTTCGGCTTTGGTCATTGGTTGAGCGTTTTCGTGACATCGGTTGGCTGGAGTGATGTCACGGTTCCAACCAAAACTAAACAAATGAGGGCGCTAGCGTGCTTTCGTACACACGTACATTGTACATGACGTACGACTCTGGGAATAAACTGATGAAAAGAGACTACAAACACGTACACGTGTAACGCTGCTTTAGAGTTTATTTTCCTGATTAATGTCAGTCAGCATCACATATGGAATTCCTGAACCCAGCGGCCCAATAGGTAAGGACACATAGAAAATGTAGGCGTGAAATAAGCTTCTGTAACGAGTAGCTGGAGTTACCCAGCCCTGAATTTGATCATTTATCACTAATATGAGGTTTACCACTCGCATCACAGCTTTGGTACTGGAACCGCAACCGATAGTGCATGAAACAGTCATTGGGTGTTACGCTTCCGCGTGACGTCATGCGCCAACAGCCAGCGCAGCCGGCAAAAACGAGTAGTTGACAACGCTCTGTGCCTGGTTATCGACCGCCATTCATTGTACACAATTTTTTTGTGCACAAACCAATTGCGGTCCTGGCCATGCCTGCAAGGTTGTCAGGTTAGCGGTTATTCCTCCTTTTTTCACTGCAATTGTAGGCTGAATCTTCATCGTGGATCGTATTTTACTTTAAGGACCTGTGTAATGGTTATTCCAGGCAAGTTTGGGGCGAGTTGCAGTTGCAATTAGTGTGTAATGGGGACAAAATTGAACATTTTCCAAAAATTTTCGCAATTTCTTTTGGGACCTGCCTACGCTGCTCAGTTACGTGAAAAAATTAGCTCCAGCCCTACATGACAACCCAATGATAAAATTCAGGGCTGGGTAACTCCAGCTATGTAACGAGGTAAAACGTAACACAAATCTGGGCCAAATTTTGGGTGGTCTTATGTAGAGAATTCTCATCCTGGACGCTAGTCGTATTGCAATGAAGACTTCGTCCAACCTGGGCTAGTAGTAGTTTTTAGTAGAGTTTCTCAAGATACATACAATACATGTGCTACTGCTAGTGCTAGTGCTGTGTGTCTGTGTCAGGCGACTATTCTTTGACCCAATCCTGGCTAAAACTTACTAAAAACTTACGCTCAAAATCACCGGTATCTGCGACAACAGTCGAGACTTGTTTAAGATGTTCCAGCAGAGAAGCCATTTTTTGTCGCTTTGGAGAGGACATTATGCATAAGCCGGAAATTTGCTGCTTTTATACGAGAGGTGATGTCACGGAAATATGCACATGTTCGCTGAAGCGCATAGGAAGTCAGTATGTAGTCTGGTTAGCAACGTACAAAAACACCGGCAACTGGACCCGACCCCAACCATTATCGGCGGAGACTAGACTCCAGGTCAATTCGGGTATAACCATTGCGATCGTAGGGGTGTTCTTTCCACAATAATTATGTACTGTACTTACAATGTCCAAAAAAATAAAATTAGGCACGAAAATACCTAATTGTTCGGACCTGTGTTCTGTTCATAGGTAATGCACACTGTTGTACTCGCATCGAAACAAAATTTCCCGAGTTTTTTTCTCCTAGGACCCAGGAGTCCCTGTACTAAGGACAGAACCAATGGTCCAAACTCCCCAAGCATATGCCGTGCTGTGCAAAATCCTCAGTGACTAGTCTCCTTACAAGTCAACTTTGTCCTACAGCGCCACGTACCACAAATATATTTTTATTTAGAGGTTTATGAAATAAATTTTTCTTAGGAACATATTTTGTGCGAATTTCTACTAATCTCAAAATAAAAAAAATATTTGACTTCCCTTTTTGATTAATTTGTTTGAAAAGTTCACGTCTTTCAACATTTAAAACTATCCATTCCTTTTCAGACAAGGACGCTGTTACTGTGATGCCATTTCAGAAAAACACTGTTCAGTCCATTTTTTTCCTTTCCGTTCAAATTGTCAACCCAAAAATGTGCTTATGGAAAATTTGTGAGAAAAGTTTGCTCGTTGGCTTACTGCCATGAACTGACACAACCAATCACACCTCCCCCCCCCCCCAAAAAAAAGAGATAAAACTACACGTATATAAGTTTACGACAGCAAAATATCCCAAATTAATTCTTGCAACTGTTGGTGCTGGAAAACCAAAGGAAATTAAAACTGATAACTGCTGTAACATTGAGTTTCTGAAATGACATGACACTTTTGCTCATGAGTATGGACATTTACATAAAACTCCCAAACTCACCAAAGGCGCTAAACTATCCTTGAAAATTGAAAGTAACAGTTTAATGGGACACAAACGTGCATTTCCTGGGGATTACGAAAATGATAAAACTGCTGCAAAATGCTCACAGACTAGATTTACCTAAATATACAAATCATACATTAGAGGCCTGATATATTTCTCCTTAGCAAGGACTTCTTCAGAAAACAATTACATTGGGATGAGCCATTAATAAGACTGCATTTACTGAGAAACTGTGGGGAGTGCTACACAATGTTCATTCAGTATTTTGATTAAATCGGGAAAACATTGCTCATTCCTACCTCCATGGTCATAGGCTAAGAAAAATGAAACATAAAAAAATGCAGTAAAGTCCAGGAGTAGGTCATGGAAGTGTACATCATTTATTGAAATTGCACAAAATCACAATTTCATCTTCAATCCATCTAAACTCATATTCCCACGGTGTCACCCGGGCACCACATGCAAATTAGCAATCACCGTTATTTAAAATCCAATTGTTCTTAATATTTTGTATACCATTAAAAAACATCCAAAACTATCATTCAAGAGTCTAGATGGGAATAGCAAAAGCAACTCTGAGACTAACTCTGAAAACAGGCCTAGCTAGACACTTCTCTCGGGAGATATAAAGAAAAGTTAAAACAATATTGAAGATGATAGCAAAAGTTCTTTTGCATAATTTTGCACAACAAAGATGTCAGGCTATTGTGGTGCGTGACTACTCCCACTTGATACCTTTACTTATTCCTGAGAATAAGCTTACCTGAGAAGAAATAGAGAATTCTAAAATTCTAAAAATCACACTTTGTGGTATAAAAAAAAGAAAAGATTCTGATAAAAAAAATCTACAGCATAATAATGAATTATTTATTAAGATTTATGATGGTTAAACAATGAAATCTTACTTTAGCATATCTCAATTTAACTGTATGTAATTCACAAATTTAAAAATGATAAAAAAATTTATCAATGACAGTTAGGTTCAACCACCTTAATTTAAAAAATACATTCACTTTAATATTGTATTCTATATATTTATCGCAAATTCGCAATACATCCAATGAAAGGTTTTCTTATATAGATTTCTATGAATACATTCCAATGAACAATTTCTACAGCAGATACTTTCCACTAAGCTTAAAGATTGATAAAATTCTAAAATTCGCTTTAGTGCAGAATAACATTCAGACGAATGCAATAAAAATTGAAATCCAAATGTTGAACACCCAATGTGCAGGAGTTTTGGGGAAACCCAAGAGCAAATAATTATGCACTTATTTTCTTTATTACCAAATTAAATGCTAAAGTTGAACAGAGTTTTAATTTTTTTTTTTAACCAAATCTGTTGTTTAATGAAGTACATTCTTGTAGGTGTCCAAAAACGATGTAACGCATTGTGTACATTTCCCATTATTGTAAGATTGGGACTTGAATGCATCTAGTCTAGATATTTTTGGTCTTGAATAGATAATTTATTCAAACTGGAATGTGAGACCTGAGCCAGCCATTTTCTCTCTGCAGTACTCGTCAAATTTCTCATTCTGGGCCACAGTAAAGTGATTTTTCCAGTCTCCAACTGTGCCTGAAAAAACAACCAAGAGAACAATTTGTGTGATGAAGCTGTTCCATTTAAGCTAGGTATCCAGTGATGGGAAGAGACCGATCCAGTTAGCCCTGCCTTGTGAGGTTTTGACAAATCACAGCCGGGATCAATGTCAGACAAAAGTCTGACGTGCGTGCAGACTGACATTGGAGAGGTGTATGTTGGGCTGTCCATTTACAAATAATTTTAGCATTCCATTATTCGAAACTGCATTTGACAATTGACAAAATATTTGAAACTCACCAATCAAATTTAACATGCACCAGCGGCAACTGTGTGCTGCGCCATTCCAAAGTTGCACGCAAAGCATGCCGGTTACAGTCAAATGCAAATCAATGCGTAGTTGATAGGAACATATATCCTTTTGACAAAAAGTGCTTAAGTGCTTTTAAACCTTATACCTTATGAATACTTTTGCGTGTTTCTTTCACTGGGGCCAATACAGGAACGAGATGAACGGAAATCATAAACAAATTTCATATGTGTATGAAAATTCAATTCAAAGACTGACTGACACCAAGGCCAAACTAACCCCACCATACTGGGCACAATTTATTGAACAGATCAGCTGGAAAGATTGGGTCAAGGACAGAACTAACCTGACAGCTTTCTATTACATGTATTATGTTTTAATTGGGCCAACAAACCAAGGCCAAAGTGACTTATGGAAAAAAGGGTTTACTGCTCAGCTAAAAGCACAAAGCAAGTCCACAGCATAAACCCTTGTACATGTATATTATCATTCTATGAAATATGCATCCTGTAACGGAGGAAATTTCAGACTTAAAGGGATTGCGTGCCACAATAAAAAAATAATAATATGATTTTATTCAAAGCATGGTGTTGAAAAGTCATGTAAAATTGAGAGCTCTACAAACAGTGCTAAACAATTCCAGACAAATAAAAAAACACAAAGGAATCATAAAGTACTGTTATATTTGAAAAGTATTGTTATCTTCAGATAATTTAACATTTTAAATTTTTAAACCTCTAATTTCCGTTGTAAAAAGTGGCAAAGGAGTTTAAGTTTGCATGAGCTATAACTTCACTAGACTAATAATATTATTGGGAAAAATGTTTGTTTTCAAACTTTAGCCTACCTTTTCGAAGAAATTTCCCAAGATTTTCTTTGCCCTGACCGTCGAAAGCGGGCATCACATTCTGTTCATCGGCCTTCTGGTAGGATTTCTTCATCTGGTCCATGCTGCTGTTTGCCACAACACGATCTATAGCTTCATCTGATAGCACACAGCCAATGTGATCAGCTATCATTATGACTGCAGATCTGGGATCCTGCAAATCAAGACAATACATTATCACCAATACAGGTCTTTTAATTCGGTCAGTCCTCACAATCACTTTTATTACTGTACCAGTAGTTTTGCCACACGAAGCTGGTTTTATTGGTAAAAAGAGCAAGCTTGTTATGTGCCCGTAGGTCAAAGCAGACAGGCTCTTGACAAAGGACTTAAAAAGGGAGATGCAGAATGTTAATCAGTTGTAAACAGATTTCATTGCGATAAAATGAAGAAAAAAATAACAACTGAACCAACAATTAATGTAACAGAGAAAAACCACATGTCAATGACTTTGGGGTGGTGTTGTAAACTACAGAAGTTCTTGGATTGATAAAGCACCGTGTTGCATTTTCCACCCACGCCTCTATGTGATTTTATTTTGATACATATCTTACTTTTCTTGAGAAGTTATTTTCTAATGAAAATATATTTAAAAAAAGCAGAACAGCACAAACCCTCTTCATATCCTCGTACTTCAAAAAGAGGAAGTTGTCATCATGACGATGTTTCCAGTATGCCAAAGAGAAGTCAAAGAAATTGCCATTCAACACTATGGGAAAAATGTAAACCCATGAAATGTGAGAGAAAAAAATTAACAATAAAATGGACAATGCTCCAATTTGTAAATACCTATGTCTCCATATGCAGATCAGTGATTGAGCTTCACAGTCATAAATTTGAATGACGTATACTTGTATGAACTCCATCTGAGGTTTTTGGTAACTGATGTACTTAACATATGGGGTTTCATTACCATCAAGTAGGTTTAACCATCCCGTTTAACCGAGGGAGGAAGTTTTAAAGTTGCCAGGCTAAATTTTGCAAGTTTTCCCATCTTCTACAAATCCAGCAGTAATAGCATTCCGTACTCAAATTTCAAGAGGGACAGATGGGATAAGCACCCAAGAAAAATCGTTAGCCCTATTCCCACTGGATTATTTGAGCTAAAACTTTTGCGACACTGTGAGAATCACAAGTTTTGTCATGACCCCTAGATGGCATTTGACCTCCAATTTCAGAAGAGTTGTGAAGAAATCCCACCCACGGATCACTTCATCCAAGTTACATTGAAATCCATGAAATTCTGCAGACAAAAGAACATTTATTCATAAGATGCAATTTTTTTCCGTTGGGGTGATGTAAATCAAATTAGGTTTTGCCCTTCACCGACGTACACACACTTTATATTCAGGGTGTTACCTCCCGAGTGAAAGTTGGAAAAAATCACTCGGCTGGGCCTCGAACCCACGACCTCCTGCTTTCTAGTGCAGATGTCTCATCACTCGACCACCCAGCTAACGGGATCGGCTGGCTGGTTCGAATCTGATATACGTACATAGCAGGGTACCGCATTTGCTATTCATAAGATGGAATTTTTTTTTTTACATTTGAAGCATTGAACAATGACCCCTACACGACCTTTGACCTCAGTAATCCAATGAAGAATTGTCCGATTGTGTTTTCCCACCCAAGGGTCACTGCATCCAAGTTTTATCAAAATCCATGAAAACATGTAGAAGTTATACATTTTTTTCTAAACTTTAACAATACGGGTCTACCAGTATCTACGGTCATCCCAGCAGATGGGAGTTAGGGGGACTTGCATTGTTGTCCTTTTATCCCTTTTCTTTACATTTTAACTTCTGGGGTATCATTTTTCTAAGGGTGAGTGGTGGGGAAGCATTGTTCCCTAAATTTCCTTTGTATGAGTGACCCACAAGTAGCTGTGGTAAGTACGGGTCTATGGTCATACAAAATTTAGGACTGGTTTAAATGTCTCCCAAACTTTGTTTAGGCAACATAAAAATGTGTCTAATGGGGACTTACAAAGCATAAACCTCCCTGTTAAGGAAACAGGCCAAAAGAGGTCTTGGCAGATGTTTCCATAGCTTTGGTATTTTATGAGGACACTGATTAGTTCATTGCTTTTATTGAAAACAAGTTTTCCTTACTGTCTTTTGAAATGTACTGCTCAAACACCTCATTCCATTTGTCCTTCATCCCAGCGTTTTTGGCCATGAAGCTGAACATGGATGTCAGGCCATCTTTGGGGTTTCTGGTAACATAGACCACCTACATCAAGACAGAAAGTACTACATGGTCACGTGGACAAGCCATTGAATAAATATTAACTATTGGAGGCTGTATCTAGGAGCAACTGTTATGACTAATCATTCAATAGTCATAGGTTGTGTCGATACGCGTTCAATAACTGGAGACCCAAATAGTCGATTTGTGGTTAGCGCGCATGTCGATTTTGATATTGCGCATCAATATTGGGGTTGTTTTTTTCAAACCTGTCCGCGCAAGCTACAACAGTGCCCTGTATTGCCACACTGTCGCAAATGTTCATGGGCAGCTCGAACCCAGTGATAGATCCGGTTTATATGAGGTTGATGATGAATGAGTGATAGTAGCCCATGGGTACAAAGTTGCTGCCAGCTAATCAACAACAATGGTGGCTAGCCAATTACACATGTATCAACACGATGACAGGCGATGTGAGCAATTAAAGCGTATCTAAATACATGAAATATGGCACTTATTTCTGTGTCCGTTGATTGTGGAGTGACCGTTCGGTATTGTGTCATGTGATGGCTGCACGATCCAAGCATGAAAAAGAAAAGCCAAAAAAACGGAAAAAAAACGCATCGACGCATCAATTCTGGAACTTTGGTCTGACCAGAGATCGCATTTTGGGGGTGGGGGGGGGGGGCTTAATACATATTGTTCTGTAGAGCTTTAGAAAAAAATGCTAGAACTTGTAACAGTATATAATTTTGTGAGATGAGAACAGAAACAATTCCCTGATCGAGATGAGGAAACCTTGAAGGTTACTTGGCCTAATGTGCCCCTCACCTTGCCCTTTCCCTGGAGCACTGCTGAAGGGACAACGTTTATCGGTAGATGAGTTGGGAGAACGCGTCTTGAAGTGATGGTTTCCACAAACTTGTAAGCTGGCAAAGGATTGTTGGGAGTCGGTATAAACATCTCTAATGCGCCAAATTTCATCTTTTCATTTCGGTCAATCTTGTCAGGATAACCATTGGCGAGTATCAAGTAGACTATCTCCATTGTCCAATGGGTACCTGTGTATAACGATATCTCAAAATCAGCTCAACTGTAATGACCTGATATTGTTGCAGAGGATTAAACTACAGATGTCATTTGTGGCCCTTTATTTTTTCAAACCAAGATTGCTCACATAATGGTAACTTATTAAATAAATGATACACATGAATGGCCTGCCTGTCTTGTGTTTGCCCTTCTTACGTTGGCCATAGAACATTGCTTTTGGTAGTAGGGACACAGAGAATCCTTGTGGAAGAATTTGAAACAAAAATCTCCCAATTTGGTCCAGTAGCTTTTGCTGCACAGCTATTTGTTAAGCGCAGTTCTTTCATGTAGGTATTATTTAGATAACCATCCCTCTATCAATTACAATGTTAGTCAAATTCCCGGGTGCGGTTTAGTAAATCATCAGGACGAAAATGACCCCCACCTTGCTTCACAAAATACAATGTAGGCTCTGGAACATAAACTACTTTTATTTTTCTTCTAAATAGATTCTCCATGCATTGGTATAATGTGGTTTGAGTCTCAAGGAATAGAAGTACAGTAAACTCCAGCTAAACCCACATCGTATAACTCGTCAAATCGCTCAAGTCGGCCGTCTGACTAAAAGTCCCGATTGTCCGTAATGCATTTCCATTGATTTTTTTATTTCTAAGTCGGCTTTTATAAGTCACCATTTCGCTCAAGTCATCGTGTTACTCTCTCGGTCCCCATTCCATAAAAAGCATTACAAAATCCATTGTGTAAGTCGGCATTCAACAAATCACGCATTGGCATTGACTTCCTGTACTGCGGTTGGCAAAGTGTCGAATGAAAAGTGGTTTCGCACGGCCCGTGATCACTGCATGCATCGGTATCGAAAAAGGGTGTCCTACTGCATACATCGCATATCATAAGCATATCAATACCAGTACCCCCTCAAGGCTGTACGCATGCGCTCTGTCCATTTTGGGGGTCGGCTTATTGAATGACTACTGCTGCAGTCAATACGTGCGTGGTATATACCGGACCACGCACGCAATTTGTTACTGTGCACGTACATATGTATCGTGGTCTCCACTATCAATACCCCAAACTTGATGATACAATTCGAGGATTAATTTGCTGGATTCAACTCAAGCATTAAGGAGACAATCCAGGGTAAATCGAAACCAATTAGTGCAATGAATCATATGTGCAAAAGACCATTCATGTAAGTCGGCAAAATGACAACTTACAGCAGATATCGGCATTCGCGTAAGCCGTCACAAATTCTCGGGTCCCGAGAGTGCCGGTTTAGCCGGAGTTTACTGTATGCAATTTCGTGTTTTGTTTGTTTGGGTTTTTTTTTCACCACCCTGTATAATTCTTATGGACAAATATCAATTACAGTGCTCACTAGTTTTACGTTCAATAGTCACACAAACTGAATGTTGTGTAAATGCAGTTGCAGTTGTGTAAATGAAATCCACAAATCCATACATTTAAAACTATACTCAAAGATGCATTCCCCTGCTCTTCCACAAATTAGATTTTTTGGGGGTTACCTTTTAATAATTTTATTTTCAACTTGTAATGTCATTCCAACAAACTAACCCCACTTTTAATTTTTTTTTTTTGGCATCTGGCACAATCAGAGCCGCCTTGCAAGCAGACTGTTCCCCCATCCATACATTATCAACACATGGGTAATTCCACGCAAAAGTGGACACGGCTGGACAGTGGAAATTGTATGAATCTTCCAAACTACGAGCATCACAACATTATGTGGTGTCAAATTAAAGGGGACAACAAGATCTTTCATTTGAGTGGTGTGCCAATGAGACGGAATGTAGTTAAAGGGAAAATACAACATTTGCAAACATCAAAAAATAAAACTACCAAATCATTTTGAAATACCTTGCTGGACTGTTAGTGAATGACAGTGTAAAGCATCCTGTAAAATCATGGCACCTGGTATACTGTCATTTTCAAGAAAAGTGGTATTTTTGTATCAATTTCCAACGCTGATCGGCCGATCAGCGTTGAAAAAAACTGGCTTTTTTTCAAATACTGGCCCCAATTGACCATCGCACTTGTTTGCAATCGATTACAAACCTATGAACGAGTACGAGCCAGCTAGACTGGTTCCCTGACCTTACAATTGCCCAATGTGTGTAAACTGCTCTGTTTCTTCTTATATGGAGTCAGGGAACCAGACTACAGGAAAATGATTGTTTTTCTTGGTTTTTATAGCATTTTCGAACCCAGAACCTCAAAAAAGTCAGTGTAACTATATTTGCTATATATTTCCAACCCCCCAATTCCATCCATTTCAGAAAATTACAGCAAAAGCAAATAATGTATATTCCCTTTAAGTGTGATTTTGGGTAAAAAAAAATGGGTTTTTTTTTTTGGCTTTTAGCTTCATGTATTTTTGGTAGTCATTTTGGCACCTTTTTTAAACCCTAACGTACCTGAATCCCATCAAAATCCACCCCCCTGTTTCGGGGGATTTCGGCGGATTCAGGATACCTCCATATTGCACAAACTGGGGGATTTTGATGGATTCAGGATTGGAAGCCTAGCGGAACTGGCGGATTTGGATGGATTCAGGATACCTCTATTTTGAGCTGTTGGGGACTTTGATGGATTCAGGATCTCAACTGTTCAACTCTTTTGTAATGTTTGTGGTCAAGTAAATACTGCTGGCACTAGCCCTGCCAAGTCTGTCGCATACTGTACAAACATGTACACACATGTACTGGGTGGACTTGCATGGAGGGTCACGTGCTGGAGGAAAGATACAAATAATGCGCGAAAACGTGACGAACGCAACGCCGTTTACGCGCAAAGAGCACCATGTGCATCGCTAGTAACTATGTGTGCGCATCGCGTAAATACTCGGTGCGCATTTCTAGCTTGACGCGCATTGAGCTAGGTCACGTGCTGGAGGAAAGATACATTTACCGTAGCTTCATTACTTTGCGTTAGTTTGTTGCGCGTCTACGAGACAACCAAAATGGCGGAGATTTATCGCACAGTGAATGGGCGTGTGTGGACGCGCTGCTGATCTAGTCTTTTCATTTTATCTAGGGTTTACGGGCTGAAACACGCGCTAATGTCTTTCACACAAATTCTGTGCGCAAGATGTATTCACTTTGGTACTCCATGCTGGGGTCACCATGCATTAGTGTATTTTGATGGATCCTATGCAACAACACACATCACAATTTTCATGCGAGCATGGTATCCTGAATCCATCAAAATCCACCACAAATATAGGTGATGGATTTTGAAGACTCTATGGAAAAACATGCTGTATTTTTGTTTATGCCACCATGGTATCCTGAATCCACCAGAATCCATCAAGACTTCTGCTGGTGGACTTTGGCGGATTCAGGATACCTCAAGAATCTACACTGGGGGATTTTGATGGACTCAGGATACCAGCATTTTTTGCATGACAAAATTGATGGATTTTGGCGGATTCAGGATACTTTCTAGTAAACAATGGTAAAAGAGCCCCAGGAGTTAGGGTTGACATGTACAAAATGTGACTGTTATTGAGAGTTTTTGTGTTTAAAGCCCGGTTCATACTGCATGCGAATGCGAATGCGAAGCGAATTTGAAGTCATGACGCATTTGCTGCGAACTTCGCCGGAGTTGAAATATGTTCAACTTTTACGAATTCGCAGTGCGAATACTTGCCATGACGTCACAGATTCGTGTTAGCTTTCACTTTTGCGCCGAGTATGAACCGGGCTTTAGGCAGAGACAAAGGTTCATATATTATAAGAAAAGAGTTTCATTATGTTGCAGTTAATCAAATTCAGATTTTGTGCCGTGTTAGAAACCATGAAGAAGAAGTCACGTAAGTGACGTAACGTGAGTGACGTAACATGAGTGACGGTACCTTCCGGTAATCTAATGTCCCTTGCATCTAAAGTACACACTAATTTGATTCAAAAGGGGTTTCTATAGCTATGGGTTGAATGAAGGTAAAATAATGTTACTTCTGTTTTGCAGACTACAGTTTGAGGAGACTTTAACAACAAAATTGCAGGACAATTTTCCATGTCCTTTTTTTTGTAACGTGAGTGACGACCAACAAAATACAAGTTTTCATAAAGTGAACGAATGGATTGAATTTTTCTTTCCATGTTTGAGTACCCCTTACCCCAAAGTTGTTGTATGCCTGGTTTGATTCAGCTTGATCAAATACTTTTGAAGCGGTGAGAGGTCAAAGTAGCCTCATGGCATATAAATGTAATGTGAGCGACGGTAGAATTGCCCACATGTAAGTGTGAGGCTGGAACCTGCCTTCCCCGCAATAATGGAATTATTGTGGGACTGTACATCTAAAATGTGGACGTATTAGTTCAATTGCATGGGCACGTATCTTTAAATATAATAGAAGAAAACAGAGCTCTGAACATACCACACTTGGGATAGGTAATGATGAAGATGTCATCATCTCGTACTTGAAATGTTTCCATCGCTTCTAGGTTCGTGCGGGGTACCATGAACTTTAGAAACCAAGTGCCTTTGTACTCGTATCTCTCCGTCATAACTTGCCTCATCTTTTCTGGTGCCATACCCCCAGGGCCTATACCCCCAGGCCCCATACCACTAGGACCCATGCCTGAAGGCGTTTGTTTGGCACTGTCAGAAGCCATGCTTGCAAGTAGATGGTCAGTTCTGAAACCTGAAAATGAAAACAATGTGTCAATGTATAAATACGTACAATACGACACTGGGATATTATTTTCTATTTTCCCAAGTAGTTTTTTCTGCCTTGCTATGGCCGTAATAAGTTCCCTATGAAAACAGTCAGCATGCAACACTGTAAAAGTGGACAGATTTTACCATCATATGCCACCATAAATGGTCAGGACTTAAATAGAAATCAAGGAAATTAACTCTACTTTAGGGCTGTGCATCGGAACCGGGTACCCGAGTACCCGACCATTAATGTCAGGAACCGGTTCCAGATTATGGAATCGAGTACCCGTATTAACCAACTTGGCAAATTACTCAGTAACTTCTCAGTCAATGAAAAAGAAATGCTTCAAATGTCAGTGGGACAATTTCAAAATGAACAAGTCAGGTGTGTTTACAAACACAAATGCCCCGCAACCGTGACTGTTCCCATGACATGACACCACTCTTTTAACATCATACATGTACATGTGCCTTGGTCACATGGAACGTTCATTGACAGCATTAGTGTTTTCTGTAGGTTTAATATGAATTAATCCCTATGATCTCAGAATAAATACAAGATTTCTATTGTTTTAGCCACTGTAACCTTGACCCTTGACCTTTCGACCCCCAATGCAATAGGCTTCTTCGGGTTACCAAGAACAATCCACAAACCAATTTTGAAGTTCACATGTAAAGTATTTCTCAAGTTATCGCGCTGACAAGATTTATCCGGACACACACACCCACACACCCACCCACGGAAGGACAAGGCGGAAACAGTATGCCCCTTCGGCTTCTCCGCGGGGCATAAAAACAGGATACATGGAAAACCAAAACCAATATCACGTTTTATGAGGCTTGCGCAAGTTGCAGTTTTCGCCACATAGCTTAAGAGCTCACTGTATATGTCTTTTCTAGCCGTATTGCCGCACCAGTGTGGTAGTATTATCATGTGGACCATTATGAACAATCTGAAGAGCAACTTCCCAAATTTGAATTTTTGGCTTAGGTTTCTTTAAGGGGTACCCGGGTATCCATATTTTTTTTCAATAGGGTACCTGGTTCCTGTACTACCCGTAAATGCACACCCCTAATACTTACTTATCTACAAACATATCCTCTTAGTGTAGCTAGCCCCATAAACGTGGCTCAAATAAGGACTCCCTCCGAGTCTATATTAAAATTAGTCACACAGCGGTGATAGCAACAAGCATGTGAGGAAAATTTATTTTGAGGAAATCAAGATCAGGACTTTTTTCACTTGATATTCACTACGGGTGATATTTACTTGTACATAAAGTATGGTTGATAACAAGGGAAATCAAAAGTTAGAATGTACTCCAAGAAAAATACTGCAATCATTTTGTGGGAGAACTCACTGCAAATTTACTGGATATACAGACATTAGACAGAAACAGAATTTAATTTCTTGTGGGTTTTAATTGGTATAGAATCTTTATTGTGAGTATCACATGAAAACACTCCCAATTTCAATTTCCTCAAAACGACTTTTCCTCGCATGTTGCATACAGGTTCACTTACCCAAAACATTCACTTTTTTTCACATAAATTAAAACTTCTCCTTTTCTCCTTCTGGTGAAAGTTGCCTCTAAATGTTTGCCCCTAAGTTGCCCATGAGGGCTGTTTTGGGAAACCAATAATTTAGAGGCAAACCTAACCAAAATGAGAAATCAGCGAGTGCCACAGACTACAGTCCAGTGACTGGCCACAGACTGCATGGGGGATATTGTCAAATCTTCTCATAGCTTGCATGCCAATCAATATTCTGCTTACATTGCTCAGTTTGTTATCAGCCCCACAAAGTATTGTATTGGCTATTATGTTATTAATCAAACATCAGTTTCAATGGCACTCAACCAAGGCTCAAAGATCTTTTGTCAACTTTTGATCAAAAATATCCATGTATTAAAGGGTTGCAATGGAGCATCCCCTTCCTTCTTTAAAGGGAATTAAGATACAACATTTGCAAACATCAAAAAATGAAATGATCAAATTATCACGAAATACCTGACTGAATTGTTAGGGACTGACATTCTAAATCATCCTTTAAAATCATGGCTCCTGGTGTGCTGACATTTTCAAGAAAAACTGTATTTTTCCAACGCTGGACAGCTGACCAGCGTTGGAGAAAACTGGCTTTTTTCAAAAACTGTTCCTATTTTTTCATAATTAGTTATTCTGACTTTTCTTTGCAATTTCTTTCCAGCATCTACAAGCCCAAAACGTGAAACAAGTCATTTTAACTATATTTTCTATAACATATTAATCCTCCAAATCCATTTATTTCTGAAAATTGCAGCAAAAGCAAATGTTGTACATTCCCTTTAACTCAATGGTGTACCAGTACCATAAATCATTGTGTGTCAAGAAAAAGGTTGTTAGCAGCCCAGGCACGAAAAGAGCACTTTTGGAGATTATCAAGTTGAAAGGTTTTGTGCTCCCATTTCTAAATGAAAAATCACATCAGGCTGAAATTTGGACTCATGAAAGTCATTAACAATTAAAATCATTCTGTGCATTTTGATTTCAAAATATTACTTCATTTTGAAATTACTTAAATTTTTCTGCTTGCAACCTTTTACCAGGAACTCCATCTGCCTAAAACGTGAACTTGCCATGCATTAAATGTGTGCTTAAGCGGCATGTTAAAGCGTAACGTCCTTTTGCCGGTGTGGAAGGTAATTCTGTCCCCGGTAAAAGTGTCCGGGGGGACAGAATTACCTAGGTAAAAGTGTCCTCCCTGGCCCGTTAATTCTGTCCCCCTCCAGGTAATTCTGTCCCCTCCAGGTAATTCTGTCCCCCAGGTTTTTTTAATCCCCCTCTTTTGAAACCCGGAAGGTTATTGTTTTGATGAATTCACTCTACAAGGTATACATTTTGGACTTTTAGTCCGCCCTTCATGAATATAAAAAATATTTAATTTAGTCTATTAGGTGATACCTATAATATAGCAAAAATTGACCGATAGTGTAGTAAAATTTGCATCAAATAAAGTGTCACGTGTCAATGGATAATGTTATTACCAAAAAAATATATCCAATAATGTATCACCACAAAACGGATACTGTATCAACCGATAACATATCAAAAATCAACCGATAATGTATGGGAAAAGGTGGAAATGTGACAGATTAATGAGTGCATGGTCAGGCACAATTACCCGACAACTGTTTAGAATTGTTCTGACAAATCTTTCTTTCTTTCTTTTTCGAACAATACTTTTTATCCTATTAACCGTTTACGGTATGAATCTGTAACTTCAACACATATCAACTGTCATCCTGGGTGGTGTATATTGCTCTGACAACATGATGGCGTGATCAGGTGTCAAAGTACAAGCGATTTTTGCTGAAGAATGACCAATGAATTCTTTCCTATATTACTCTTGAACGAAATAATCAGTGATGGCAGGGTTCGAAATTAGCGGTAGCCCGCTAGCCAAATGCTAGTCAAAACAGCGGCGGGCTAGTCAAACTATTCCTTAAGTAGCCCAGCTGGCGATTCAAAAAAATATTGGGATACGGCAAAGATGGAAGGACAGGAATAAATAAATCATTGAATTCAGAAAGCAAACCTGTATTAATTTGTGTATAATTTTATCAACTTTTTTACAGGGTTACATTTGCAGATCTGTTTATTAAAAACACTGACAAGATTGCCTCAGAATAGATCAGAAATCAGTTGGAAATGGATAAAAACAGATTTTACTTTTCTTTATTTTTCGTTCCAAGGTCACCCTTTATAGATAACGTCTGTTTTCACATCACATACTTGCGTGAGAACGAAAATGATAACGATGCGAAAAGTTACCTGCGTACATCCGATGGATTCTAGATTTTTTTATTCAGGCTCATTTGGATCACGTTTTGATACAGTTTTATCAACGAACATTTTAGATTTATTTGTAAATCAAAATAAATCCTTCAAATTTATTCAAAAAAATTTCCGTCCCAAAAGCCATTTGAGTCTCCTGTTTAAGTTTAGGGGCCGAATCATAAGTGCGATGCCTCATAGGTCCGACTTTCGGACTTATGAGGCGTCGGACCTATGAGGCGTCAGACTTATGAGCAGACACCTAAGTTTAATATAAGTTTGAACCCAATGACAGCCACAAAATTATTTCAAAAATTGTCATGTTTGATTGAACAAGACAGTGATTGAGTTCCACGAGTCAACACGAAAGGTTCCGGGAGTGAGAGGTCAATTTTTGGCACGATTGTTCTCTTTCACGTCATGCAAATTTTTAGTTTCCATAAAATTCTGAGGGTAATTTTCTTAAGAAATCAATATACCAAAACTAATTTCAAAAACTCTGACATACAATGTAACAAGTTTAACCATTCCTTGGGTTTTAAGCGGCAAGCATCCTTAAATGAACCACTGAAAAGGCACCCGTTGGTTGAGCCCCAAAGGTTTTCATAGATCGCATTCGCATTCGGAGGTTATGACTGTGTTGTTGTACATTCATTCATTCGTTAGACATAGGCATTTGCCCGTGGTCTCCTCCTCAAATTATACACAGTTGGGATCACTGGCGCCGCTCCCACCACAGCCCGTCTTTCCAGTGCTGCTGCTTTCAGTTCGTTGGTGTCACACCCAGACCATTCACGGATGTTGTCCACCCAGCGCATCTTTGGCCGGCCCACGGAGCGACGACATCCCACTTGCATCCCATCCACAACAGCTGCCGCCATGCCGAACCACATGGCCCAACCATGCTGCCTTTCGTTCCATCACAGTGCTACTGCTGAAGCACCACCGGTCGCCGATCATCTCCATCAGTCTTTCATTTGTCACATGATCTTGCCACTTGATGTTGAGCAGGTGACGCCAAATGGTTCGGCCAAAACTGTCTAGGCGTTTGATGTCAGCTGCCTTCAACGACAGGGTGGTGGCGCCATACAGTACCCTTGATATGACTAGGGCCCGAGCAAGCTGTACCTTTACCTCAAGGCTGACGCGGGGGGAGCGCAGATACTT